AAAGGGTACGGGACACTTACAGGAGTGTTGAGCATTCATTTTGACTTTCCATAACCCTGAAGAAGAGTGATTTTTGTTCTTCCTAATATGAGCAACTGCTGAAGAAAAACATTAATTTGGCATCAGCTTTTCCCCCTCCTGTAAGAGCAGTTAAAAAGTTTTTTGGTTAGCTTCCTATTCTGAAGGGAATCAGCTCTGGAAATCTGCTCTTAAATCAAGCTTTTCAGCTAGGACTTCTTACCAGTTGCCTACAGTTATTTTCCAAATAAGAGGAGGAGGGAGAAAAATCAGAATTTTGTATACTTTTTCAAAACTGTCTCCCTTATCCTTCCCCTATTATGCATTCAAAAAGATCTTCTCAACCAGCTCTTCAAATGACTCAGACCAGTTAACCCCATGCAGTTAGTTATTCATCCATTCCCCACTACTGTCCTTTGAGTCACTTAAAACAGTTGAAAAATCTGACTCCCTGTGCCTTTTGCCTTTGAAGCTCTTGATAAGGAACCTTTTTCAATACACAAAGGACTTGAGGTATGGAGTTTTAGCTAAATCACTTCCCTTTTGTCTTAGTTCTTAAGCAAACCAGCTCTGTCCCTCACTGTGTCAGTACTTTCTCTCTTGTTGCTACTCTTCATCTGACTTGAAGGGGGGAATCTCAGCTCTGACACCTGGAGCACCTCCTGCCCCTTCTTCTGCACTGACCTTGGTGTCTGCAGAGCTCTTCCTCTCACACTTTCCTCCTCCTCTGTCCAGTTGCAGTTGCTGTTTCACAGGGTTTCTTTTTACCCTTCCTTAAATCTCTTATCCTAGAGGCACTACCACTGTCACTGACAGGCTCAGCCTCAGGTCTATGTTGGCTGGAATTGGCTGTCGGACATGAGGGAAGCTTCCAGGAGCTTTCTACAGATCTTTTTAGGGCTTTGTCACAAACTCAATATACTTGGCATGTATCTTCTGCTTGCATTATTAATACAGAAATGCAAGGCAGAAATTTTTTACAGAGAAAGGTTTCTGCCTTTTTCTAGAACAGCAAAAAGGCTGTTGCATAAGCAAACAAACCAAAAATTATCCCAAGGGTGTTTCATTTCTCTCAAGGTACATAATTATCCCCATGCTACATTGGCAAAGTTTAAACATACCAAATGCCAAAAAAAAGTACAGAAAACTTTTAAGACGCTCACTATTAGCAATAAATGATTAAAAACATCTGCATGTGAGGATACATGGCAGGAAACACAAAGAGTCATATAAACAGTGCTCTATGATTTATCCTAATACTGGGAATTGCAGGATGAAGGCTTTTAATCAGGTGGACTTTAGCTACAGCCCTGCTGCTTGGGAAGCAAACACATGCATAAATGTTTTTTATAAAGGCATAATACAGCATGTGCCATAAGATGAGCTTTCATTTTGCAACAAAATAAGTTTACATTCATCACAGCTATATGCATGTAAAGTTACAAAGACTTTCATAGTTTCAGACCTGCTTGCAATGGTAATTTCTTTTTTACATTTCTGCGTTTAAATTTACGTACCAACTTCCAGAACACAGAGAAAGACAGACACCAAAAGGATTTCCCAGTGAATCATTTCTGCAGAAGGAGCATAATAAGCTCTTTGAGATACAAATCTGTCTTTATTTTCATGTGTTATATAGCATGAAGCTACCAACAATAAACCCTAAGAGAGGAAAATAAGTAAACATAGCAGTTGATTCCATCTCAGTTTTCCTGTATACTTTTAGCAAAGAGAGAATCACTGGATACAGAGTGGCAACATTTAAGGGAGACATAACTACTCCAAAGCAATGACAGAACAAATAAGAAGAAAAGCATGATGCCACACCTAGTTCCTTCACGCTTCAGAGTGAAGGAGGCTGTGACTGCTCAGCTGCAATTTGGACGTAGAGCAGAGGTTGGTGGGCTGGTACCGAGTGACAACCGCTGGGATCTTTCATGACAAGCTCCCACATAAAACAGGACAATGCAAACTGATGAATCACACAGAATAACAAGGAGGTGCTTGATGAGTGGCCCAACCCCAATTGTGAAAAATAATTGGCAAGATGAAAAGATATTCCCATGTAGTGTGCATGTGGGAAGGAGATGTGAGTGCAACTGTCAGGGTTTACAGCTTCCTATTGGAAACACAACATCCTGGAAAGCAGGACAGGAAAATTGCCTGTGACAAGTCACATGTTTTTTAACTTCTACTTCAAATCCAAATTCTGCACTTTCTAGATCCCAAAGCAGTTACAAGTAAAGAAGATGCTCTGACTTCAATGAATTCTTTTCTATTGACATTCAGATCACAGGTTCTCAGGATATCTAAGCATATTCATTTTTGTTGAATACAGTCTCACAAACATCCAGAGGCATTTTGAAAAATTTTCTTTTGTTTATCCAACTATAATCTCTAAACAAGTCCCTGTTCAGCAGTGTAAGCATCCTAGATGTGCTCTGCACATTATCAGGCCAGATACACGATCAGTGATATCAGATGAGCCCAGTGCAAGCCTTTCACTGACCAAGCTATTTTTGCCCAAAAAATAAAAATAAATTGCCATGTTTTATAATAGTGTCCCAAATTCCTATCTATACAAACCACTATCCCCTGTGTCAATCACAGTTTTATACCTCCAAACCACCACACCCCTCAGCTGCAGTTAAGAAGGTGACTCACACTGTGTGCTCTGCACAGTAACAAATTATGTAGGAAACACTTTGCAGTCTCTTCCACTTGAGAAGGTGTTTGTACCTTACATGACAAACCAGGATTACATGTGCACCATCACTAGATTTCTTTGCCTTAATGCTTAGGAATCGCAGCTAGATTCACTGCTGTACTCTAATTAATTTGTACAACAGTAAAGCTGTATTTTTAACAATAGGGTGCAGATGGATGTAATATTTACAGTAACAAAAAAACCAATTAATCAACTCCTGCAGGAGCAACTCAGACCACAATATCCATGTAGGTCAGACATGCTATTTTTGGTTTTTGAAGTAAAAGAACCAAGACTGGTACATTTGCATTGTTCCTTCACCAGACAGCTAGTGCTTGCCTAGAACTGTGACATCCTACATTCATTTTGTCAGAAAGCACCACTTCTGGATGCTGATGTTTTGGGTATATTCACTGGAGAGAGTGAAAATGAGTAGTTTGGAAGATGTGAAAATGTCATCTTTCTTTCACACACTATCAAGAGCTGAAATGGTGAACTAGGTCAGGAAGACCATCAATTCCTACAGTGGCAGCACTTGTTCTTTATCAGAATGGGTCAGTGAAGGAGCTGTTTCCTTCCAGGTGGAACTCTGGGTAGAGACTCATGTCCACACCACGACTCAACAGCAGAGCTCTCCCTTTGTTTTACAAACAAGTGGATTCTTAAAATGGGTTATTTATTGAAAGGGTTTTAAAGCTCCAAATGGTGAAACTGTCTCAGTTAATGTGCTGTGTTGAAGAAAGTCAGGCTTGGCACATGTTTCTCATTAACTGTGCTAAAGCAGCCCAGTTTCCCTAGAAATTCCCAGATTCTCCTTTGCAATAGGGTAATCTAGAAGGCCCCTAATTTTAGCTCTCTAGTCTGAAAGGGTGGCACATACATAAGTAGTGCTGAGTGAATGCTGCTGAAATGTCTATGATTATGTGGAATGCTAAAGAAAGTGGGCTTTCTTGGCATATACAACATCATTAAAATATTCCAAATAATGTCTAAAAGCAAGGAAGTATTTTAGATATTTGTGTAATGCATTTCACATATGAAGCATTCACACTGCTACCTTACACATCTGTCAGCGCAGACAGGTGACAGAGTGAGATCCAGGATCCCAGTCACATAACCTGTTGCAAAATGGTCAGAGCTAAAAAGCTGCTTCCTCTGCAATCCAGTGTGTTGTCTGTGCCAAAAGTTTAGGACAATGTCAGCACGTTAACCCAATGTTAGCATGCAGGTTAACCCTAGAACCTGGATATCTACCATTTTTTAAATTTGTTTTTACTTCTGAATACAGAGAAGTAAAATAGGCCAAAGACGTGACATAGTTTATCTAGCACTCATTATAACAAAAGTGTTGGATGCTTTCATCTGACTTTCTCATTTTCAAGCAGATTAAATCACTTTTGAACTGATTGCTTTTTTTTTTTTTTTGAGAGCAGCTTTCAAGATGAGGTAATTGAAGGAAACCTATCAATCCAGTATCTATTTTCAAGTTAATAATGTTGACATACTGTTCAAATAAACCCCCAGTTTAGCACAATCTGTTTTTAGACAAGCCCTCCATTTTAACCTCCACATGGAAGGAAAACTAAGTGACTTCCTCATCTCACTTAATAGAGAACATATGTTCAAAGATAATACTGTGGGCTTGCTCTGAGAAGCTGTTCCTCCTCTGACAGAGATGCTGGGAGCTCACAGAGTAACACTGATACATAAGGAATGGACAAGTTGCCATAAGTCTCACTCATGGCAGAGCTCACTTCAGAAGAAAAGACTGCTGATCCAAAAAACACAAACACAAACAAAAGCATCCTGGCAACAGGTGAAAAAAGGAACTGATACAGCCGCTGGAAGGATCAGAATTAAAAGCCACCTCAACCCTAATTTCTTTGGAGAGGTCTGAGGGGTAGCATTTAAGACACAGAGAGAGGATGGAAAGAAGAAAGGGATCTCTAGCACCACAAAGCAAAAGAAGCAGTTCTAGAATAAAACTGTTTTAAATCCTTGCATTACAAACTCTCTGGAACAATTTGAGATGAAAATGCTATGGTAATATCAACAGTCATTTTCACTTATTTTATAAATATTTATGTAGTTCAGATTTACTTTCATAACTTACAGAAAGGATGTAATTGTCACTTGCTTCTCCAAGTCTCCATTTTTCAATCTACAAAAGAAAGTCAATTCACCTGCCAAGGCCATTGTGCTTGACACTAGAAAAGTCACTAATAAAACTCACATTCTTTGAATCCCAGTCAATTCACTGATTAAACAGGCTGTGCCCATAAACAAGCAAACACTTTATTTGCATCTGGAAACAAATCAAAGCCACTTCATTCTCTTTTGCTCAATGTCATGACCTTGGTCACTAAGGTAGGGGCCAAGTACAATCACTTACAACAAGTAATAGAAGAAGAACAAAGATTCATCACCAGATGTATTTAATATTTCTTTGCAGATTTATCTGATCCTACAAAGCCATTAAACCTTTCAAGTTCACCCCCACCAAATCAACAACAAGAATCACTGACCAATTTTTCAGTATGTTTTGGCACACCCCACATTAGAGCCACTTGCCTAAAATCCAGAAAGTATAAGTTGTTTTAACAGGAAGAAGGAACAAAATACACGGGTAGAAGCTGGCCACATGAGAAACCTGAAAGCTACATTCTCTGTTCACTCTGTGCAAATCATCATTCAGCTCACAAAAACACATTCAGGGGATATATTTTAGATCAGAGGAATGCTACCCTGGAGGACACAGCTAACATAGCCTAGACCATCCCCTCAAAGCCACCACTTAGAGCCAGCCTTATCAGTTCAGTATCAGTCGTTGTACCTCCAGCTGACAGCCAGCACCAGCTGCACAGATGTCCCAAAGCCTGAACACCTGAAACAAGCAAGGGTAAGCAGATCACAACAGTCAAGGGCTGAACAATGTAACATTCATTACACATTCAGAAGGACAAAAAAACTTCAGAACGAACAAACAAACAAACACACACTTCAGAACGAACAAACAAACAAACACACACACATCACAAACAGAAGACTGTTCACAAAGATTTTGCAAATAACCCTTTAAAAGTAAAAAATGAAGCTATCCTTACATCTTGTAATTCCTGGGAAGAAATATGCTCAATAGCTCAGTAATTTGGATGTTCATATAAGTCAAAATCCTTTCTTGGCCCAAGATCTGAACTCAAAGCCAGTGTTTGTCTGTTGCTGTTGTTGCTGTGTATGTCCTACTTATTTGTCAAGACACAAAAAAACCAACAGTTTGATCATTAGGGAACCCTCAGCATCGATGCCACAAGAAAGGGATCACTTTACATGCATTAAATTGTGTTTGAAACACAGACCTGAGTCAGAGCCTGAGTTTTCTTCAGTATTTAGACACAATCCCTTGTTTGAGTACAGACTTGGTGCTCACTGCAGATCATGTCAAAGGGGAAAGCTTAACCTTATTATGCCAACCCCTGGCACAGCAGTAGCAAAAGCTGTCGTCTGTATGAAATGTGCCTACTCAGACCAATTCCTCAGCCACATAAATTTTGATGCTTCAAGTACCAGCATATGACAGACACGCAAACCTGAGCTTCCTCTGCATGGAACAGAGGTTTGGAAATGAAGCATGTGGAATACTTCATTTTGCATCCCTAGGTAAACTTTGTATACAAGTTTCTGAAAGGTGACAACCTCAAATGTAAATACTGGATCATAGAAATGAAAGCTTCAAGAAAAGCAGTTCACAAAAAAAACAAAAAAACACCACCAGTCTCATTTGTATATTCCGAAAGACATTTGCGTTTTCTTAAGCCTTGCAATACTTTTATGTCATGCCCCACTTTTTTCATGGTGCCATAATTTCAGCTAGGACAGGGTTAATTTTTGCAGTCACCAGGAGAGGGAATGGCCAGGACACCAAGAATATTCTGTACCACCTCACATCATTGCTGGGAGCAGGGGAAAAAGACTCTCTTCAGGAAGAGGGGGCTCAATCCAGTTGAGAAATTGTGACAGAAGGAGCCATCCAGTATTTCTGTTATCAGGGGGTGTCCCCATGTGAAACGTTTCTTTTCTTATACCTTTTGTTTTTATTATTGCTGTTGTTACTGTTCATTTCTCATCTCATTGCTATTTCCAGTAACTTATTCTTATCTTAGGCCATTGTCTTTGACTTTTATGCCTCCAACTGGAGGGTGAGGGGGAGCAGTGTGTGGTTTTTAGTGGGGTTACTAAATTGGAGAATACCATACCTAAACCACGACATATGTGTGTGTATATTACAAAATCATTTTAAATGTAAGGTGTTTTGGTCTGCCTTATTGCTTGGAAATCCTTGCAGATCAGTGTACAATGAGTTGCCTGGGCTTAAAAGCAAAGCTTGGAATATCAGGGTGAAGAGGAGATTAACTGTAGCATCAGAACATATGCAGGATGAGTTATTGAAGAATGAATCTATAAGCTCCAGCTGGTTTGTCACAGATGTTTCTTCAAAAATACAAAATTATCAACCATTAAGCCACAGACCAGAGTTCACCAAACGTGAAACTTTGATAAATGCACCAAATTTCATCAATGACACCAAAAAAATACAAGTCAGTTTGAAATGAATTGCCATAAAGCACACCCTAGGTTTCTATAACTCAAAAGACAAACGATTTTTTTTTTAACCATTTGTTAGAGATTTTTGTTTTAGCAGAAATGTTTGCAGCCTGTCCTTATAAAATAGATCAGTCTGGCACCAGTAAATATTAGTGAGCAAAGGACAAACAGAAGTTAGGAGTAAGAAACTTAGCCAGTTTCAGCTACCCCTGTATGCACACTGAAAAACTATTTATTCTATTGTTCTAGTTCTGAAGCAGCATTTTAAAGTTTGTAGAGTTAATTAAGTCCTGGGCACTCAGCAACTGATGTTTAATGTATGAGTCCTTGTCTGTATTCTACCTCTGACAAAGTGAGCAAGAGAAAACACCAAGCAAACTATAAGCAGCCATGTGTCTGCAGAAGGCATCATCTCCACTATCAGGAGGACTGGAAAGGTATCTTGCAGTCCTTATTATCCACAGAGTGGTTCCAGGTCACTCTTATTGCCAAGGCCAAAGGCTCCCAGGATCTGGGAGTTGCCCATTCTAGAGTTTAGCCTCCTTAGCAGCTGGTCATACACCAAAAGCCCAGTAGGTTTCAGAGCACTGCTAGAAACACTCTTTTAGAAAATGCTACCATGGAACTCCAGGGACTGGAGGAGTATTTTAAAGAGAACCAAGAGTACCAATGTTTCACAAAGCATCCTTTCCACTGTCGTCTGTATGTTTGAACATAACCATAATTACTGTCTGAAGTTTAAGTAAGTCCATAAATGAGCCATTAAGAATAAGCAGTAGAAATTGTGACATTTAAAAAGAAAGTCTTTGAAGACCTGGAGTCCAATGCTTAAAGATACCATCTTTTGTATCTGGTACTTCAAATGGAAATTAAGATAACCCAGAAAATAAATGGAATAAACACACAGCTGGTACTCAGATCTAGGGGATTTTTAGTACTGCTAGCATAATATGAAGCAGCACATTTTCCAAATGCTGTTTGCATCTTAATGAACTTTTAGCTGACCATTATGAAATACTCAAATGCATTACAGTTTGCAATACCCTTTTCAAAGCTGATCCGTAATCATTATTAGGAATTATCCATATAGTTAATTCCAACATTTGCCAAAAACATTTTACAACATTTTCTTTTTAAAAACCAACATCAGGAATCAATTATAAGCTTTAGCTCAAGTGACCTTATCTCTTCTTGTTGCACAATACCAAAATGGGCCTAATTCTCTCCCCTATCTGTACAGTCTCTCCCTTCTGCACTGTCTGTTAAATCCAAGCTGCTGGATCAGCCAGCTGCAGGCTCCTCTGATTTAGAGATCTAGGGAAAAGCTCACTTCCTTTTTGGAATGAGTCCCTCTTGCCTTTCTCATTTTTACAGTCCTGATGTAACCACAAGGCTGTTCTCCACTCTCACACCAAGATGTGGCCCTTTGACATTTTGAGTCATACTAAGTAGTCCATTTATCTTTTACAAGATTACTCCTTGATTATCTCTTTGGAAGGCAATTGATCAATCAATACTAATTAATTCATTTAGACAAAGGACCCAGCATCCAAATGCATGTAGTCAAAATGGAATGTCACATTTACCTTCAAGTCCTTAAATATTTTTAGTAAGGAATCTACAGAAGTGAATATCTTATTAGGTGCCAATAGCTTCATTACAAAATATTAATCACCTTTATGGCTTCATCTTACTAGTGCCTGAAGTGAAACCTATTTGAAATATGAACAGCAGAATTAGAAAAGACTGACTTCCTACAGCTTTAGCTCTCACACTGGATTCTCCCATGCCCACAAAAGCGCTGAACTGACAGAAGCAATCAGGGCAATTCATACCATTGCTGCCACCTACAGATTATCTGGTAACAGATAAGGGCTGAGCTGACACTCACTCTCCTAATGAGAGATAACTGGCAAGGAGAGATGGATTGTATTTTCATGAAGCTCATAGAAATCAAGTAGCTTAAAGACTGATCTCCATCATCAGCTTTGGTTGAAATTGAGTGAAAGAAATTAAATAACTCAATGAAAGAATGGCTTCAGAAGTTATTAGGGGAGGAACAAACACCAAGAAATTACATTCTCAGTCTCATTTCCTGAAGAAAATAGACTTATAATGTTTCGTTTATTACCATATACACACATTTCAAACAGGTTAGATCATTATAAAGTCGTACTGCCACATTTTTCACATTTTACGTTTATTAGGAAAAACTGAGAACTTTGTCAAGTGGGTATGACCTAGGAACTTACTGGGCCATACTCAGAAAAAAACAGTGAACTGTTGAATTCCTCAGTCTGAGGGGTTTAACTCCCCACAATAACACTGTTCAAGACACTGCAGAATGACTGTCCTGCAAATACTTGCGGTTTCCCCCTCAGCTCACAGAAGCCTTTACCACAAAGATTACCACTTGGTTTTCATTCCAGGGGAGATTTTATTCCAGACCATTCCCTACCCTGAAGCACAAGGCCACTGAGTCTCAGACAGCATTTTCACCAAGTTTCTCCTCCATTTTTGAAGTGTGTGACCAGACCCGTTTTAGCACATTTATGAGGACTGCTTGGGAAGTCTGACATTTACTAAGCTCCTGCTGCACTGAGATTTCAATTAGTTTATTTCCCCTCCTTCAGCTGACATCAACTGATCTGGATAACCAGCTCCAAAATCTCTGCTAAACTTCACTGAGCCCTGTCCTGAAGTAGTTACTTCATGTCTTTGACATTAAAGGAAGCTGCAGCAGACTAGGATTCCAATTTTGTCCTGCTACTGACTGTACTGTAGCCATTTGTTAGTGATATATTTAATGAGGTCAGCATAACTCAGCATAATGTACTCCTACATATATTTAGTATTGATTTCTTCCTCTTCTCTAGCAAAGTAATGTTGGATGGACTCCCAAAATATTAATTTGTTTTCCAGGCATTTTTCTCTTCCTAAGGTTGATTCCAACAGTTAGATTTAGAAAATTTAATCTATCATCTCCAGAAATGTACTCTACATCCAGGTGTCCTACTGTTTCTACCTCCTGGTATCCTTTTCCTCACACCAGAAAGCTGGGCTCTGAGCTCCTGACAGCTATTTTCTTCAGCATTAAACTCTACATTCAGCATTTGCCTTTCCTTTCAGGTGTTGCCAGTGAAGAATCTACTTCTCCTCAGGCCAAATCAGTCCTCATCCAACTGACTGTGAGGACATTTTAAGCTCAGAATTGCTTTCCTCAAATACTCACAGAAGTATATTTTTCCCAGGAAATCTTATCATTAATTTCATAGTTTTTGG